TGGTAAATGAATAACTCGTTTCTTCCCCCAGTCGCAGTGAGTCCATGGAAATGCTGCTTTAAAAGAAAAGTTGCAAACGGACACATTCCGAGCTCCTACCTTCTACCCACATCGAGCCCGTCCTCTCATTGAAGCAGCCAGCAGCCGCTGCTATCTGTTTTAAAGTCGGGCCGTTTACACACAAGCGAACACGCACACATTCCGCTGGGTGAGAGGGAACTCATAAATCTTACGTAGCTATAAACGACAGCGGTGGCGTCCTGAATAATACAAATAGAGAGGAGGCAAGTTGAGGGAGAGAGATGGAGCTGCTGCTGCAGCTGCAGCTGCAGATGCGGCTGGGAATAAAAAGATTTCTGAATACTTTGTTGTTTCGTTCGGTTTGAACGTCCGCTTTTTTCTTCTAAAAACACAATTTCAGGGTGATATTTAAAACATACCAATCTGTCGCGAATGTTTGGAACGAACAATTTCAGTTTGTTGGTTTGTTGAGTCGATGAAGGGAGATCATCTGAATATAAATTGGATGTTGTGCCGTGAAAAATGTTTTAGGAATTTATAAATGACCAATGATTCATAAATGTTTTGACGATTTAAGAACTATTTGAATCACTTTTCTTTACTTTTCACAATTATTGTGCTAACTTTACTTTTCTCGTTCTACTTGTATCTATTGCTAATGTAAAAGTTATGGTACGGTAGCACTATTTTTATCTTTAGTGCAACTTTGTGACTCGTCATCATAACACTAAAAAGTTATAAAGTAGACCACCATGTGCCACATATTTCCAGGTCATTGCGCACTGAAACTAATCTCACCAAGCGAAGAGATTCTGATAGCAGGGCTCCAGTAGGCCCCACTACTGTAATGACAATGAATGAAATCATATTATTATTACGTTATTGTTCTCGGGGAGTCCCATGGTGATGACCCACAGGAAACAGTTTGAAACATGACTGAGTGGCGGCAGGTTAAAGTTTGTTTTACAGCAGCTGTTAAAAGATGCTACGGGAAAGTAAAATGATTAATTTCCGAGTCGTGTGCCACAGTCACGGCTGTGTAACTGTCCGCTGTAACGGGTGTAAACTCTAAAACGTCATCAGAAGTTTTGGTGTCAACAAGAAAGTTGACACCATAACTTCCGAGCAAGGAAGTGTGGTTGTAGAGCCTGCGTCTCACTGCGCGTATTCCTTTCATGCAGCTCATTAGCATAATTTTTGAATGACGTTTGATGAGGGAGTCATTGCGCCCATATGAGTCCAAGTCTCTTTATTTTTGTTTCTACATCTGTTGGTGTCTATTCGCGCGTTTTGTTAGCAAAAAAAAAAAAAAAAATCAAACATCAGAATGCATGAAGAATCAGGAGCAGTAGCTGTGTTTGAAGGCTGTGTTGGCTCATGCTCTTAGCCGTGTGCACCAGGCATCCCGGCTGCCCGCCGGAGACCGAAGCCGTAAAACCCAGAAAAGGACGTTTAAAGAAGGAGAGACTTCAAGATCAAAGAGATAAACGAGTGGAACAAAATATAAAGAACGCGGATAAACACCCAAAATGCCATGGGGAAACAATCTGTTTCTCAGAGGTTGTACTGCTGGCTGACTGACTGACTGTCTGGTTCGCTGGCTGGCTGCTTGTACAGAGGCTAAGAGGAGAGAAATTTGAGGCCATTGTTATCAGCTCGAAGCGGTGAAGGCAGCGCTGGTGCCGGGGCGGAGGGTGGCAGTGGAGGGGGCGGGGGGCGCGAGCAGGCAGCAGCAGGCTCCCGG